TTTCTCAGAATTAGGAAAAAAAATCTGAATTCCGATTTTAATCTCAGATTTCTGACTTTTTCTTTCCACGAATTCTGACTTTAATTTCAGAATTCTGATGGTTTTTCTCAGAATTAGGAAAAAGTCAGAATTCTGATTTTAATCTCAGACATCTGAGATTAACGTGACTGAGATTAAAGTGAATTTAATTTCAGAATTCTGATATTCTCTGAAATCTGAGATTCTGACTTTAATCTCAGAATTCTGGTTAGGTTACCCTAGGTTAATTTCAGAATTCTGAGATTAAATTCAGAATTCATTTTATTTTTTTCAGTGGCTCTAATGCTCTTTGGTAAATACCACAAATGACTAAAAAGCAGATTATATTTAATGAAACATAAAACCTGAGTTTGGTGTAATTTTAATAAAACATGATTAAAGATAACAAACATATATTTGCAGTTATAAATATGTGACTATATAACATAAAAAACCACATATAAAAGGATGTGAGGGCCTGATGAAACCCTTTCTTTATGAATTTTAATAATCATGAATTTCAGTGCGAGTGCAYGAGCCTATTACCCTGGCTTGGTTTTTCCTATAAGTGACAAAGAATAATTACACAAACGGAGTCTTCTTTCAGCTGCTGCTCAGGTTGAAAAGCTTATCACAGAGTTGGAAGCTGAAAAATAAGGGGAATAAAACTTATTTGGTGACAAAATAAGAAGAAACTAAAAAGGGAAAATGCAGGGTGGCACACTGAAACTAAAACAGAATTTCAGCTGAATGAAGATCATTAAAGAGCGAGGAAGCCACATTTTTCTCCACATTTTTTAATTCTTATAAAGAATAATAGAAGTAAGTAATGCAGACAGCGGTGACTTTAAGAGACAGTGCTGAGTGTTTTTCTGAGGTGGGAGCAGAGTATAAATGGAGAGAGGTGACAGCTGCAGAGGGCTGAGGAAGCCGCCTGCTTTTTGACAGCCAGGACTCACTGAGAAACCCGTTAGCGGCGAGCAAGTGGCCCGGCGCTCACACGAGACACTCACACAGACTCCAAATGTCATCTGATGTGAATGAGAGAACTCCGGAGGCATTTCAGTCACACTGAAGTGTGTCCTCAAAGGGGCGCAAACAGTCCTGATGTTTGACCTTTTTCACTCAGCTGAAGCCTTTTTGATATTTTGAATCCTTCATTTATTTCTGTCTCTTGTTGCTTTTTACTTGACTTTTTTAACTGTACAGTATTGCGTTTTAAAACAAAAAAGGAGAAGTCATTTTTTTTCCAGCATTATGCATCAAAATATGTAGTTTTAGATGTAGGTGGCCTTTTCCTCTTGCTTAGTTCTTTGAAAAAGAACTGAAACTTTTGCAATGATTATATATATATAT